AATAGGATAAATGGTTTCTCTGGTTTTACTGTTCAGCTGTCTGTAGAAAGCTTCCTCTATATGTTATTTGAATAAAATACATGTGCCTCCAAACGCCCAACAAAAATGTTTTTTGTTAAATATTCAAAAAGTTAAGCAAAAAAAAGAAAAGGTGCATTTAAGTTTAAATCATAAAAGATTAATTCCATGCCGTGTGAGAATGGGTGTGTACGCTATTGAAGAGCGTGGCTGTACTTGTCTGCACTTGTTTTGTCCGACTGGAGGAAAAAACAAAACAAGAAACTGCCTCCGTTGAACGGTTACAATATTTGACGGTTGCATTTGTGCTACAATTAGCTGATTTCAGTTTGTGACGTTAGCTGAGTGAATGCTGACCCCAGCCTAGCAGTCGAGCCTTGCACTTCAACAGGTAGCAAAAGCAGGGATGAGCAGTCACACTGCAGGCTCCTTTTCTGCCTGTTTGTGTTTCTAAAGTAGAATCACTCAAAAGTCTCTTTGTGCTGGTTTTCATCTTTTCTTTGTGCTGTGAGCTTTGTTTTCACACCTAAATACTCAGAGAAAGATCATATGTTTGCCATCATTAGCGCAGGGATTTGTGTTGGTGTGTAGGACTGCAACCTCGAGATTTATATTGTTAAATGCTAATTATGAGACAGTGTGGCTGAGGTTATTTTACAGAGTAACATGAAAGTAATTTAATGAGTAGAATAACTAATTACTTTCTCCTGGGAGTTATTAAGCAATGTACTTTATTACTCTGGCGGAGGTGTGGTCTATGGCTTCGCTGCAGGGGAAACCAAATATCAACTCTGTTAATTATAATAAAAAGCTTTGTACGAGCATGCTGTGTCATGATAGGCTGTGTGGCAGGCAGGAAAAAAGGACCTGAAATGCAGGACTCTCAAAGACGGGACTGGAACTCAAAATGCAGTTTTACTGCTGGAAAAATCTCCTCATAAATAAAACTCACAAAAACAACACAAAGCTCTGAACAGAGAAACTAAACAGGAGTACAAGACAAACACAGCTTACTGAGGGTAGGAAACATTAACGATGCAACAGAGAACAAAGGAAAACGCAGGGCTTATATACACAGTGGAGTAATCAGGGAATAGGAAACAGGAGGGAGACACAGCTGGGAGAAATTCGGGCTAACGAGACAGGGGGAAGTAAAACTGAATACACTACCAAAATAAAACAGGAAACGAGAAACAAATCACAAAGACGCAAACTTGACACTGAACTAAACTAAAGAATAAACAAAACAGCACAGCTAAAGAATCAAACCATAAATCATAATACAGAAAAATACCAAAACACAAGAAACTGAAAATGCTGTGACACGTTGAGTGTGTTAGGTAGTGACTGGGGTGGCTATTGTTACTTTTTAAGAAAAGTCTTGTGTATAATATGTGTAATAATTACTTTTTCGAGTAACAACCCCAACATTGATCACAACAAAAGAGGAAATATATGCAGTATGCAATTCATTTGCATTACTGTAATGCCTTTGATACGCTGCTTAGCATGTTAAAGTGATGGTGGTCACTCTTGAAGTGGAGCCAATGAGAATGCGATGAAGGTCCA